CTGTTGAACTCAGTGGCATTATTCCTCATTGATAGCACAGCCAAGACTCTAAGCTTCATCAGCATTGTTTCTGCTAGTCACTTTGTGGTAGTTGCCTGCTTTGTTTCTGTTTCATGGCTCATTTGGTTTTTCTCAGCATCACTGTATCCTGGCAGCTGAGTTCCAAGCAGATGAATTTTTTTTTTTTTTTTTAAACTTTCTTATCCTAGAACAAGTAAATACATACGCACGCTTCAGCTGTCTTGCCTTCATGTGTTCAATGGCAGCAGTCCTGAGCCTTCTGGCTCTTGGCAGCTCAGCACTGAATCTGCCTGCAGGTGACCCAGTCTCAGCAGTCCATCCATTCCAGTACTTGTGAGCAGTTGTGGTTCTTCTGGTCTTTTGCCTATGTCAGTATTAGGACCACAGCTGGGACTTCTTTAGCTTCATCTGATGCTGCTAGCCATTCCCCCAAAAATCTTTCTTTTCTGTTCTTAGTTTTGGTCTATTGCTCTATCCTCCTTTACTTAACTTCCTAGATCCCTTTCGTTTCCAGTCCCCTCTCACTTCAAAAACTGCCAGTGATTCTTGTATTCCAGTGAATCCCAGTTTGCTTCATAGTTCTCACACAAACATGCAGCAGTAATTTAACCTATGTCTGGCATGCAACCTTTTTTGGAGTTAAAGTCAGGCTTGTCTTCAGGACACTGGCTAGAAATCATACTGTATCTGGTGGCTGTGCGGGTTTTGAGGTTTTCTTTCACCCTCCCATCCTCTGTCTCTGTGTTTGCAGTAGGGTTTCTGCCATTACATGTGGATTAACAATTTATGTTTTGTTTTACTCTTCCAAAGGACACTGCTATTCAAACATCTTAAATGTTAAATCAGGTTTTGGCACGTATGATGCAAACGGTCTAGAGAGAAAACCTAAGAATGCTACAGCCTGCATTTCAAAGGGATGGCGTTGGTGGGGAATACCCACACTGAGTGAGGACAGGGAACACTGTCAGACCACGATGGCCATACAGTCTTATTGAAGACTGTAATCCTTGCTTTACCTCTTTAATTTCTCCACTTTTCAGCAAGTGCCAATCAGGGAGTTACTTTTTTGATGCAGTTCTTTGCTGTGGCAGCTCCGCTAAGAAGGGACTTGTTCAGCTATGTAGATGCAGGTATAAATGGAAAAGAGCTTCTGGACCATTTCACCGAGCAGTTATCTGCAGAACACATGCAAGTACAGGGTTGGTTTGTGGGGTTTGGGTCATACCATATGTCCTTATGTGAAACTTTGTGTTTTGCTTGTCCATTAAGGAAAGAAGTTCAGCATCATGATTTAAGCGTGAACCTGTACAAAAAGCTTGTCACTGTGATCTGACACGCAGTGTAACTTTGATCCCTGACACGGCAGTTCCTTGGTGTGCTAGCATTACAAGTTGTTGGATATGCAGGTGCATTCATTTCACTCTATTGAATTATGAATGAAAAGATGTACCTTCTAAATCATAAATCACATTGCAGACAGTTTTCAAAAGAGAGACCATGTGCTTGGTGATGATTAGCAAAGCAACTAATGGATCATGTCTTATCCTACATAATGGGTTAAATTTTGATCAATGAAACAAGCATTGCCCTAGGGAAATGCACCTCTTGGGATCATCATTGATGTGTGAAAGAGGGAAATTTGCTTTAGAAAAGTTTTCTGTAGGAGATGAGCTAGATCCAGTTCAGGTTGGTAGTAAGGCACAACCAGTCCTTCTCCATAAAGCAGAGACAAAGCACAAGTGTAATTTAGAGAATACGCATACAAATTCAATAAATATATGTATGTGTGCTTAATTGTTTTTTTATGAACCAGGGTCTTAATTCTGCTGGGATTTGCTGTCAGGCAGTAAGAGATAGTACATCAAAGACTGATTGTACTTAATCACTTATAACTTGTATGTTACTCCATTAATAAGCTGATTTTATTGTCATTTTTTGCCTGCTAATAAATCTGGCTTTTGTAAGTAAGTTAGTTTTCTTGTAATTGGGATCGATGTTGTCAGAAGTCATGTGGGTTTTTCATAGTGCATTGAATCAAGAACAAGAGATCAGCAGAGCTTCTGCGGTACCCTGACGGCAGTATCAGCAAATGGGCCGTTTGTTCTTCCAGTATTTTTTTTGGCGCTGCTATCAAGTGGTGGGGAATACATGCAGCAGGTTGTTAGCATGGCATCATCCTTGATTCCAGGCTCCTACATATGGGTACATGTCTTCATACTCGCAGGCATGCAAAATAAAGTGCCTGTTTGGTTTTATGGGTAAAAAGTGAAAGGGTTAGTAGTGTCAGGTCTCAAAGGGGTTGTGATACTGTTTTAGCTTCACAGATCCACGAAGCAAATGCAGTGCTTAGCCTTGGACGAGTTGCCTCGGAAAGCTTACTGGCTATTAGAAAATGGAGCTTCTCTAAACAAAGCTGTAATGAGAGACTCCTTCATCCTTTGCATCAACTTTTTCAGCCATTTGAAAGTGTAATCAGCGGTGTAGGAGATGAAACTGCTCTTTGATGGCTTGTGTGTTTGCCATTCAGTGGTCTCAGGAGCTGCATAAACATTCAGCAGTTGAGCCTTATTGTCTTCCAGCTGGTACTTTAGCCCTCTTTCGCAAGAAGGAAAGCTAAGCTGCTGAGACTTTAAAAATGGTTCTGACTTGTAGCCTGGACAATTTAGAGATTAAAAATAAAAAGTAAATTCAGGTACTATACTCCTCGTACAGATCCTGGTTTAATTTTGGCCGCTTGAACAACCATAATTATATATTTCAAAATAGCCTTTTCCCATCTCTTCTGGCTCTGGAGAAAACAGATGCAAAATAAGTGAGGCAAGGGTGGGCATGGGGGAGGCGTACGTGCAGCCTCCCTGGACTCTCTGTTTTAGTTTAACTTCTAATACAAGTTAAGCTCTTGGGGCTTGATCTGGGAAATGGCTTTGGGTCCAGAGGCTGGCCTGGCACATCTGCTCCCCCTCCTGCTTGCAGTCAGGTGTAGGTATCTGGGCTGACAGAGCCCATGTGTGGAGGCAGAAATAAAGACTGCTCACATCCCTAAAATCCTTCTCTTTTTTTTTTGGCTTTAATTGCCTCAAGAAGGGCTTCTAGATTTAAGGGCTCTGTTTCCTCTCTGCTTTTCTTGCCCAACAAAACTCCTCCTGTGCAGCATCAGCAAAAGGGGCAAGTGCCCATCAACGTGAATGGAGTGCTTCAGCGAAAAGCACGTTGAAGAGCAGAAGGAGTACTGTGACCACTCGTTTAATAGAAGGCAGCAGCTGCCACCCCATTTGCTAAGGGGTCTGATCCTCTCCGTGCATTTAACATGTGTCTTGAAAGCTCCTATTGGGTTGATTGACTTGGGGAGAATGGAGGAATGCTTAATTTCTTGGTCCTGATGGGACTGAAGTTAAGGCTGACTTACTAAGTCGTCTTAGTAACTGTTTTGTGAGGTGTGGTAGCTTTGAGTATGAGCACTTGTTGGGGTCCTGGCAAGCTTTAAAGAAGAAAGGTTGGAGATGGGTCACTTTCAGGTTCAGGGATGACACAGTGGGTGTTTTCTCTCTGCCTGAGTATATTAATGGACCTTGCCATGCTGGTCATGTCAGATCTTCCCGCTTCCTTAAATAAATCCTACCTACTTGTCATCAGAAGAGCGTGTAACTGTTTTCACTTGCGAAACAACTAATTAATGTATCCACAGAGCATCCTCCTCTGGCCCAAATTAGAGGCTGAACCCTATGTGACTTGACATATTTTGTGAGTGAAGGCTTGTTAATTGAGCGTGTAAATGTGTAATTGTCTGTAGAATTATCCAATTGAGGTTTTTTTAGCTTTGCATACAAATATGGGAGCACAGTCATGCCGTTGGGCAAATTTTCCAAAACCAGATGCTTAATTAAATATATACATTGAGCATACAGATGTGAACACCCTTAAAAAATCGATCCAGTTGTGGTAACCTCCTCTTTTCTTTTGGTATGTGGATATGCTAATCTGAATGTTTTCATCCGAGTCTGTCACATACCATAGTTTCTGTGTTACCTCTGTCCTTTTTCCTACTAAATATGTTTCAGTGATGTGGGAAATGGCATTTACCATAGAAGTTGTTCAGAGGTTGCTGTTGATGTATGTGCTGGCTTTTAGTGGAGTGGTACCTTGTGCTTACAGTAGTTGGTGCTGTAATACCTTTAAAAGAGTTCTATTCCATATGAAATATAAATTTGAAATGTGAGGGGTTTTAGAGGAAAGCCTACTTAAATTATGGGAGTTGTTGGCAGTTGCAGTCCAGTGCAACTTCTGAGATGCAAAAAATGCCATTAAATTTGCAAATAATGGTACACTTGAAGTTTTCTTGGTGGTCAGTGATTTCTCTGTTTGGAAGATGCTGATTTGCAAAGAATGAGTGATCTGGCAGTTTTGACGTTGCAATTATTGTCTGTTGCGGTGAATAAAACCTCAAATGGCTCATGTTTGAGGTCTGCAGTGTTCATTTACTGTGAAAGAAAACACAGTAATACTGCTTTTCTTTATGTTGTGTCCTTTTATGTAGAATTAAACACTACATTTAGTCTTTTTGAAACCACTTTAAAAGAAGTATATAGAAAAGTAGTATCGATAACATGTAAAAAGTTCCTGAATAGTGATAGAGCTGTGCCACAGATGTGTACATGTGATTGACAACTCTGTGCAGCCAAGGGTAGTCTGTTCTTATTCATAGACCCACGGAATGGTTTGGCTTGGAAAGGTTTTTTAATGATCATCTACTTCCAACCCCGCTGCCATGGGCAGGGACACCTTCCACTAGACCAGGTTGCCCCAAGCCCCATCCAGCCTGGCCTTGAACACTGCCGGGAGGTTTTGCCTCCCAGGCTGATGGTAATGTTGTAACTAATGCTTCAGTGAGGGGTGCAGGCAGGCGTCAGAGATAGGGATGTTAGTTTTAATCCGAGTGACAACCACTCCCCTGATGCCCTTTTCTCTTCATTTCTCTGCAGATGTCGCTCCTATGAGGACTGCTGTGGTTCAAGATGCTGTGTAAGAGCTCTCTCTATCCAGCGACTATGGTATTTTTGGTAGGTCAGGGAATTTGGGAATTTTATGTTTGTCCTGTTCATGTCTTGTTTGTAGGACTTAAATCAGGCTCTGCCTTAAGTCAGGTACTGCCGGCCCTAATATTTTAAAATAGAGTAGGTACTAGTATGCAGTAATGTCTATGTGTACATATAAATGCAAGCACTTTGTGTTTTTGCTTGTAAAATTCTTCTGATGTAGCAAGAAAACATTGAAAAAGGTTACTAGTGTCAGGTTGACCTTTCCTGCTTCTGCATTCTGCTGGTGTGTAAAGGCAGCGGTCCCACTTTTATCCAGAATTGCTGAATTCCTTATGCCTGTTGCAGCTACTACCAAGCAGCAGCGGCATTTGTCCGTTTTTGTTGGGCACTCAGTTTTAAAAGAGGATTGTATAAGGAGGATTTTGCACTTAGGCAGGGTTTAAGATAGCCTTGCCAGCTGAATTGAGGCTTCAATTAAAAAGGGAGAGAAGTACATTTATGACTATGAGGATTTCACTGGAGATGACAGCAAGGGAAAAGAAGGCAGAAAGATTTGAGCTTGTGAAACCAGCAGCTCAGTAATCTGGATAAAGCTTAAACTAATCACTGTTATACGCATAATGAAAAAATAAGGTAAATTTGTTTTGGAGAGGAATTTAAGAAAGCACCTGAATAAAACCTTCTCGTTACAGTAGAAAGAAAGCAAAAGCTCTCCTAGAAAACCTGATTTCAGGCATTTTTATGTAGAAATTGAAGACTGCTTGGAAAAAAAAAAAAAGGCTTCAAAATTGAAATGAGTAAACACTGAAAAACAGAAGCCTGATAGATACTATAATACAGAGATTTCCCAAAGCTGACTGTGGGATTTCAGTGTACAATCCTTACTGATATAACTGAAGAGCTCTGCATCTCAATCCCTGGGGTGACGTCGTAAATCTCTGTTTTTCTGCTCAGAACAAATCCTTTGCAGGAACGCTGCCAAAAGGGAATGTATTAACATTGGCTCAGGGAAATAGGACCTCCTTCTCTCGTTTCCATCATAGAAACAAGAACAGAATTTGACCGTTTGCATGAAATACCTCTCACTGCCATGCAGTGTCACACTTTTCCTCTTGGACACCTGGGAATGGTCCAGAAGAGATAAGCATGATGTGTAGGCTTGCCTCTGGCCAACTTCCATCCCTTCCAGAAGAGCACAGTTGTCATTGTCTTCCAGTAAAGGGCCCTGAAATGAGGTGGCAATTACAGGCGAAAGAACCATTTGGGTTTCCAGGAGGTTGCCTGATAACTCGTCGAGGAAACACAGTGAAAGCCACTGTCTGAAAAACAGACTCTTCTGACATGTCCTTGCTGCATATGCCTGTTTCCACAGCACCAGGCCAAGGGAATGACAAGGATAGTTTAGTCAGGTCGGCAAAGAAGCTGAGAGAGGAGAAGAACTGAAGCAAAATTATGTCCTTTTCCTTGAGGATGTCTGTCCCGTCTAGGAAGCACAAAGCAAAGCTTGTCATCTTCAGTGATGAATGCTTCAGTCTTCTGACTGCTACCGTATTTCCTATGGGAGACGAATTTACAGTGTTGAGTAATTTAAGAACATCTAAGAATCTTCTTTTAGGGGCAACAGCAGAATGGTATTCCTTTTTGTCCCCCACAAGCCACCTGGCCAGCCTCAATGCTGTAAGCATGAGGCTCATGTCCCAGATAGGCAGTTTGAAACTCTACTGACCTGGAATTTCAGTTCAGCATCCCAGTGGCAAAGGTCAGGTATGAACCTGAACTTCCCAAAAGTTCAAGAGTATTTTCATTTCAGATTTGTTTTTACATGCCAGAAAACATCAGACAATAGCAGTAACTGCTAAAGATGTCTGTAGTATATCCATAAATGTCCCATGAATGCGATCTCAAATGACATAGACCTGCTCTTAAGAAACCCCGATAGAAGTCATAGGCTGATGATTGCTGGATGATACTCCTGTTTCTCTCAACGAACGGTCTAGGTTTGAGAGCTGCCTGAACGCGGGTGGGTTTTGACTTCCATCTTCTCTTTGCCTAGGTTCCTTTTGATGATGGGAGTTTTGTTCTGTTGTGGAGCTGGTTTCTTTATCCGAAGGCGGATGTACCCTCCTCCACTAGTAGAAGAACCTACTTTTAATGTGTCTTACACCAGACAACCAGTCAACACTGCATCAGGTCAGAGACCGCTCATTAAACAAGTTTCACCGATTTCTTACATTTGCCAAGGCATTTAAAAAGGGTGGGGTTGGGGTTTTTTTTGGTTGTTTTTTGGAAACTGGGGGATTTGGTCAAGGGGTTGCACTGCACTAAACCGTGCAGCCAGCTCCTGTGACGAGTGAAGTCTTCTGCCTTTCCAACAGCATAATTCAGGTGGAGTGTACAGAAGAGTTTTTGAAACCCAGGATGACAGGACTTTCAGTTCCCTTCTGCTGTGGTTTCTAATACCTTTTCAGCTGTGTGTCCAAGCATGAAAGGAGGCTAGCAAATTCTCACTTGGCAGCATAGACAAAATCTTAGGTATCCAAAATGAACAGTGACATGAAGAAAGAGTTTTAAATATAGTTGATAACGTCTGGCAGAGGTGAAGGAAAGCCTAAAATTTTTCTTCCATGATCTGGCTACCTTGCAAGTCTTCAAAAAATCTGTTTTTTGATTTGCCGTCCGTGCTGTGAGCTACAGTTTTTCTGCAGCATAGTGGTCCTTCTCCCCTTGTTAGTCTGATTGCTGTCTCTCTGGTCAGTAATGGCTGTGAGCATCAGGAGGATCTACCTAGTGATGGCTCTTCTGGCAATACTACTTTCTAAAAGTCGTTTATTTCTTCCCCTCTGGCTGTTAAGATAGTCCTGGTTGGGACAGTCCTGCAAAATAAGACTCACCTGTAAGCAGCAGTTGTTTGTGCTTTATGGGAGCATTTTGAATCCAGCTGTCTCTAGTTGGAAGACCTTCTACAGTCCTGAGATTTTATCTCAGTGCACACTGGTGCTTGCTTTCTTCCTGCCTCAGCAAGGCTGAACTGAGACATGTTTAACCACTCTCTCTAGATTGCAAAAGCCAGTGGTAATTTGTGCCAGCAAAAGTACACACACACATGTGCAGGCACATTTGGTATACTGATACTTTTCCTCCCGGGCTGTCGTTTTATTGCATGTTGTATTCGGGAGAGATGAAGCCAGAGGATAATTATCTTTTCTGACAACTATTTTTGGAACTGGCAGTTTGGTGGTGTTTCATACCGGCTTGGAAGTGGAGATACAGCTGAATACCTTGTAATGAGAAGGAGGATCTCTCTGAAAATTTGGTGCCTCAAACCTCTCTATCAAAAATCGTCTTCTGAACCATTACATGTCTGTGCAATACTGTGGCTGCATCAGGACAGCCTCCTTAGAAAAGTGTCCTCAACCCCTTCTAGCTAGCTGTGACTGAGCGTTGTGCAGAGATGCGGCATGTGGGCTCTCCCTACTGTCAAGCCAGCTACTGCACACCCATGTGCCTTGTGCAGACTTTGGAAATGTTCTTTCCTGCATCCTTGAGCACGTACTCACAGATATGCATTCCCACCCTCCACCCCCGCCCCGCTTCTCTCACAGGTCTAAATGGATAAAAAGATGTTACAGACACAAACTGACACTATATTCACCCTCTTTGTGTTTAAATCCTAAGAGGTTTTTTTAGGGCTTCCATTCCGCATCTGTTTTTCTGCTTGACTGAACAAGCATTTCCACAGAGTGTATTTATTTTTCAGCAGTGGAGGGTTGGGGGGGAGCCAAACTAAACTAGTATTTTTAAGCCTGAAAAATAACCTCAAGCTTATGTGAACAAGGAGCGTCTTTGGCTGGATTGGCAAATACCAGATTAAATTTTAGAGCACCGTTTGTTTTATTTTTTCATGACGCTTCATGGAACACAAGTTGTGGGTCAATATAAAATAAGGACAAGCCCTTTGATGACCTGCTTATGCCACCTGCTTCCAGACTGTTATTACTGTCACTTAAAAAGCTTTGGGCTCTGAGCTAACCCCTCCAAATTTTTATTGTATTTGTTTTTACATTTTCTACTATTCTAGGAATATTCAACAGCAAAAGCAATGGGAATTAGTAGTCAACCAAGTTCTCATTTTCCACTAGCTCCTTTTCCAGATTTGGTAGTTCACTGTTGAGGTGGAGCCCTTGAAACATGGCTCCTTGCCCATCTCCTTCCTTCCCTGCAGAGATAACAGCAGCATCTTCTGCCATCCCAGCAGCCTGGAAGTGGGAGTGCTTTTTCTGTGGGCCTGACTGGGGAAAGGGATTGAACACCTCACCTGCAAGCAGCAGATTGCAGACCTAGTGGTATCTTTCACTTCAGCCCTGGCCTACATAGCCCCAAACTGGCAGTTCAGGTGCTGGAAAAGGTCGGGTCCCTTTGTAGACACTTAAATATTTACTGAGCTGATCCCACAAGTGAGTTGATATCAGATGTTGTTTTCCGCTGGGTTTAATGAACTGAAAAAATATCTCAGAAGACTGGTGTCCACACTTGTCCCCCCAATTCAGTAATAATACACTGAAGTTTTAGTGAAGAGAGTTATCTTTTTAAAGAGCAAGCTGCAGTGAGCTACCTCAACCCCTCCCCATGCAGATGGCAACTGCAGAAATGCAGAGCTGGGCAGGATTTAACTGTAAAACAAAAATGCTTAAGAAAAAGGCTACAGAAAAGGGTATTAGCCCAACCTTTGGAGTGATAGGGCTTGGCTTCTGTTCCCAGCCTGGCTGTCCTGCAGCCGTGTGCTGGTGCTATAGGTGGAAGCAGAACAAGGGCTTCCCATCGCTGTGGCAAAGTGACCCTCAGACAGGCAAAATAAAAAATTATTGTGGTGGTGTGTTAAAAATTACTGTGTAAGAAGGAAATAATTGCCTTCCCGGTCTGTTTTCCATCATCTTTGCTCCCAAGTGTGCAAACAAACTCCCTAAGCAGACACCCCAGGCTCTGGGACAGTTTGCATCCCCTGCCTTATGTCATGACCCATCTGATTTAATATTGTAAGGACACGTTTTGGGGTTTGATATGTAGCTCCTTCCCAAATGCCTGAAGTACTAAAGGATGCTTAACGCTTCAAGAAGCCTATATTCCCTCTGTGGCAATATTGAGTCCTGGTGTCACTAAGTCACGGAAAGAAATGATTGAGCGCAAAACCCCTTAGAGGCTGTGTCAGGAAAAGCAGACTAGCACCAAAAGAAGAAAACCTGTTGCTCAGCCATGATTGGGTTTTATTTTCGATCCGGCTTTATTTAAATAGACAGAAAGAAAACTAATTTACAACTTGAGATAGAGGCAGTCTGTGACTTGAATTGCTGGAATTGCATTGTCTTCCACCACCAGCTGTGATAGCTGGGAAAGGTTACAGCCACTTTTGTGATTCCTCGTGGCAGCAGGCTCTGTTCCTCCTCCTGTGTCATCGCTAAGGAATTTTGCATTTGATCCTAGGTTTCCTTTCCTTGTCCCTGCAGGCTCCAGCATAATTTCCTAAATTTAATCTGTGCGAAGCAATCTTGTCCCATGGTGTTAGCCAGCCATAATTGGCTTCAACTTGAGTTTTTGCTTCATACATGTTTGCCTCTTGGCCGTATTGTGCCTAGAAGGGAGATCGTCTGTTTGAGATGCACTCTGGCTTGCATCACCAAATAATCTGTGAAGTCCTTGTAAGGCTTGGCACCTGAGTCAGGGCTGCAGTGGAAACCCTTGTCCATCTGGGATCCCAGGTCTCTCCTGCAGCCACGGCAGCTTTTCTGTCCAGGGAACTGAGCAGGGCTCGCTGCTTTCCCCTTCCAATGGTAGTCGCTTGGGGCAGTGGTGCCCTTTGTTTCACTAAATGAAATTCTGTTGCATGCAAAATTGAAACTTTTTGGTGAAATCTGAAAAAGTGAACGTAGTCCTGCAAGCTTGGGTTTTCTCTGGAATGGGAGAAAGGTGGTTCCTTGTCTTTGATGGACACTTTGAGAAAACTTGTGCGAGTGTGTAGAGCGCAGGCCCTGGAAGAGCATGACCTGACGCTGCTGCCATTGCTGATAGCTTTACTCTCCTTTTCTTTCTTTCAGGGTCACAACAACCTGGAGTGCCGTATTACACAGATCCAGGTGGACCTGTGGTGAATCCCATGGCTATGGCTTTCCACGTCCAGCCCAATTCCCCACAAGGAAACCCGGTTTACCCACCCCCACCTTCCTACTGCAACACACCACCTCCCCCTTACGAGCAGGTGGTGAAGTCCTCCACGTGAGGACTCTCTGGCTCTCTGACCTGACTGTGCGAGAAGAAGGTGCGGTGCCATTGCGAAATAAATGACCGAGATGGAGGGCATCCACCCTTTTGAACACTTGCTGGTTCTCCAAGTCCTCTCTCCCTCCCTCCCCTGCACCTTTCCTCATTAAAGTTACTTGCAAAGGGATAATTTTTAAATATTTTTTTTTTAGTAGAAGTGAATTTTTTCTTGGTCTTCAAAATGAAAGAAGTTGTCTTTGTAATGCTTTTAATGGAAACCTATATTTAAAACCTGTATGTCTTTCTCTTTATTTATTGTTTGTTTCAATCTTGGGTTTAATTGTGTTGTGGCAAGCTACTGATAGCAACCCCAGAGTGATGTGCGCCCTCCTAAGACCATATAGCAGAAATGCCCTCATCTAAGGGAAATGACAGAGAAAGAGGGTGGAAGTAGAAGAGGCAGGGCAATGCTTTTACCAGAAATGGTAACCGCCATCTTCTTCTTTTACGATTTTCGTGTACAACTTGGTTCCGGTGCACAACAGAAAGACACTGTGATAGAAGTAGCTGTGACTGGAGTACCAGTGTTGGTCAAGTCATGGCAGGGGCTTTGCCAAATGCCCTGGAAAAGAGGGAGTCATTACTTTCAATGATGCATCTAAAAAGAAATGGACCGGGACTTGAGTGTTTCTTGGCCAGCACCTGGACTCTGCCTGTGTGATTGGCATTCTGGCTCCCCTTGTTTTGCCAGACATGAGATTGTGTGAAACAGCCGGTGACCTAATGTTCGTAGTGAGAGGAAGGCGTTCTAACTTTAGAGTTACTCATGCTTGTGCCTCTTGACAGAGCAGTTAGAAACACTGAAATACGTAGGTAAGTTTTCTTCCCTAAATTGGAACATAACCACAGTGAGGAAGATTGGGAGTGGGAGCACACTTCCAGGTTTGCTCCCTTTGACATTGATGGGAGTTTCGTCCCTGAGAAATAGTAGCTTTCCTTATGGTCTCACTGCTGCCGCAAAGAGTACCAAGTAGAGCTGCCATCGCCAGGTGACAGATCTGTAAAACTGCTCTCCTCTCTACGTTGGGCAAATAAATAGCTTCTTAGGACTGGTGCTTGAGAGCAGTTCCTTGAACTGATGCGCAGTTGGTTTGGCTTTCAGTGACTCTTAGCTCTTCCTGTGTTTTGCTGTGAGTGGCCACAGGATTCCCAATCCCTGTCTTGTGCTTGTGGCTGACTCGGAGTTGACCACAAGTCAACACCTTCAAATAAACACAGAGCCCCTTCACCTGTGAGGGCTCTTGCACCCACCTGTGTCTAGCAAAAATGTGAAGCTACTCTGAGACATGACTACATGCTAACGGGACCTTCTCCCTTCATACATATTCAGGGCCATGTCACTAACGAGTGACAAAAAGAAGATACCATTGCCTTCTACTGCTGAAGGACCTGCAGAAACAGTGTAGCTGAGGATTAGGCGTCCAATACGGTTCTTGGGGTACCTCTTGGGTGAATGCTTACTCACTGCCAATACACCGGCTGCCTCTGTGTCACTCCAGCTAGGGGCACGGAGATCACTGAGGTGGGTTGCATTAATCTGAAGACCTGTGTTGCATGGGGAGCCAAAGCTTTATTGTGCTGTTAATGCATGCCAGTGGCTTGTGAGAACATATTCCTAGATGGCAAGCTGGATTTGCAGATCTGGCAGAAAAGAGCATCCCTTTTACTGTGAACGTGAGTCTAAGAGAAAAACCACTAAGGGTCACTGTTTCTAAAAGTGCTGGTGGAGGCAGGAGTCAGCTGGAGCAGAACTGGCTTTTGAGGAGCTCATTCCCACAGACGTGACTTGGGTGGAATTGTAACTAGGGCTAAGGTGTGCCATGTAGGCTCGGCGGATGCTTAAGATAACAAAAAAGTATGGTTTTTGTGTGGTTACTAGGTCCATCTGCACACCACTACTGTATATATTTTCTAAATTAGTGTGCACTTGAAGGTTAAAGCTGCGTATGTCACTGAGTATGGTTGTGTATATCTGACATAATTTTTTTTAAAGCCACTCCAACCTTTCTTTTCTGTCAATAGAACTGACAACAGACCTTATGTTAGTAGATAGATGTTGTTAAGTCCTTTTATATTATGAAATGCAATGACAGCTGGTGTTTTCCTGGACACATTGAATAGAAGCCTTTTATAGTGAATTCTTACACTGTACACTGAAATTCAACTTCTGATGACGTTTTCCTGAAGTCTGGCTGGTTTATTTGCTAGTGTGGATGGATGATACTACCTCTTCCAACACAGGCACTCCTCTGCTAGCAAACTTGCTTGGTCTTCTCTTGAAAATGCAGCATCTGTGGGGGCATCCGTATGAATTACTTGCACACTGTTTACCTGCTTTTCCTCGCATTGTCTCACTTCGGGAAATTTTGAGGTTTTCTTTTATTGCTCTTCCCCGCCCCCCCCGCCTTAGTTTAGAAAAAAAAAAAAAGAAGTGGGGAGAAACCCTCTAACTTCTGGTAGCCCTCTTCATTGCTTTTCCCCCAGCTGTATGTTTAAAGTTCTTTATATTACCAAGTAGAGTTAAGTGAGATCTCTTGCATGCAGAGGAGGTAAGAAGGCAGGGCTAATGCCACCGAGAGCTTTGTACTCGACAGCCCTTCAGCAAGCCAGATGTGAAACACAGGCTACAGGTGCACTGCTGGAAAGGACAGGGTTATGTCTCAGCAGCAGGCAGTGATGACAGATTGGGTGTGCACTCCCACAGGTCAGGGGGAAACATCATCTTGCAACAGGATTTTACTTGGCAGTAGTGATGCCCTAGGAGCTGCTGCAGCTTCACTAATGTGAACTTCCCCCATGGTGTGCTGATGCTTTATACGCTGCGCTTCCCGTGTCGGACTCTCTGGGTGCCACTGCTGTCTCCTCTCTCCAACACAACAGAGATTTTGGTGCCTCACTGCCGAGGCAGGGAGGTATTTCGACTGCACCGTAAGGTTGGTGCTGGTGGCTGGGAGCCCTGAGGATGCAGTGGGGCACTCCCCTGCCCCTTCCCAGGGGCACCAGACGGGGGTACAGGGCTGACTCCCCGTCTGCCTTTGAGAGCTCGCCATCTACATCAGGAAGTTGATTTAATATGTTGTGGGGAGCAGTCTCCTGGTTCTTGCACAGGGGGGATTGAAATGCCTTGAAGAGGACTTGGGCAGAAGAGAGATGCTTCAGCCGAGCCATTGAGCTCAGGGTGGGGCAGCCAGAAACACAAACTTTGTCCCCTTGAGGTCCTTTCTTCAGTTGTGCAGCCTCAAACTTATACCTGTGAGGAGGCAGTGATTGGGAGGACCATGCCTGTTTGTGTAAGGAAACCTTGAAGGTCTCTGCTGCTGTGACTCTGTCAAAAATGGGAATGAGGAAGGGGGGCGTGGGGGGGGGCGACAGTGGGTCAGTCCCTTTCTGACACAATGAACTCTCCAACTACGCTGCTTTGTGAGAAAAGACACTTGTGCAACAAGCCCCAGCTGCACTGTGGGATGGGGAGAGAACCTGCCCTGTCTGTGGCTGGGCAGTTCGTTTCTTCAGATGGAGGATTCACTGTCAGTCCTGTCTCGATAAAGAGCAAAGCTTATGGATGAATGGTTGTGCTCTGCTCTCTTTCCACCCTGGGGATCATGCTGGGAGGGAATGGGCATAGGTCTTTCTGTATAGGCTTGTAAGGATGCCATGGGCCTCATGTGCAGCTTGGGCCTCCACGGATGCTGTCATCAAATTTGTCTCTGAGGGGGTGTCTCAGGTGCTACATCCACCTGAGATGCTGTAGCTCACCACAGGGCATTGTTCATCTCATGCAGGAAACATTCCTGACCTCGGGTGTTTTCAGAGCCACAGACCTGTCCATGTTTCTGAGCAGGCTCCAGCTGCTAGTTCTTCTTTCAGCATTGCTGGTGAGACAGAAAAGTGCCATTTCCTTCCCTTCCTATCAGCTGGCAGGGCTTTCTCACCTGTGGGTAGTAACCACATGTGACCAACACACCAGCCACCCTGGCTGCTGCTGACCTCTTCAGCTAGCACTGCCCTACTGCTGTCCCACCAGCCATGTGTCTCCCAGGCCAGGGTGGTGTAGGGTGTGGACATCGTTCTCCAGGTGGAGGGAATAGTTTATTTCTTGAGTATTTTTCAGGTCATTCCTTGGACCAGTCTGGCTACAGCTGCCAGAACACCTTGAGATTTGTTTTGGCTTACGTTAAATCGATTGAGTGCTGAGTGTTTGCTAGGGTAAACGCTTAAACTGATGAGTGCTAAGGGTAAACGCTCAGGACGGATGTATCCCAACTCCTCCACACCCCAGAAATGCTCTTCTTTGGCAGAACAGACCTGCTGAAGTTTTGGGTTAGGGGGCAAGCTGAGGGTGAGGAGTGGGGCAGGCATTGCCAGCCTCCATCATGCATGCGAACCACCCTGCCACCGGCTGCAGCCATGCAACCCCAGCAGCAGGGGACAGATGCAGACAGCACTATGCAACTGGTCATGAGCTGCCTGTCAAATGCATGGCAGACTAGGAGGTGCCTCAATGCTCAACTTGATGGGTGTCAGCAGAAAAATCAATCCCCACCCCTGAATGGCTGTCATTGACTCCTGCAGCCCTGTCTTGCATGGTGGCAGTGGAGGGCTGGTGGTGCAGAAAGTGCTGGCAGTCTGGGGAAGGTGCTGGGGGGAGAATTTTGGTTGGGGAGTGGGATGTGGGTGACCTGGTGGGTGGCAGGTGGGTGGATGTGACCCAGCACCAACAGAGGAACAGAAATGATCCGGCTGTGACGTGGCACAGCTTGAAAACTCGCTGGTTGGCATCCTGCGTAGTGCTCTGCATCTGCGGGCGGTCCCAGGGGTTATACAGATGTTGGTTATCAGCCTGAGTTTGCTGGTGGGTTGCTGTGGTTTGAGTGGGGAGGAGAGGAAGAATACGCTTGTAATACCACCTTCTCCTGACTAGCTACTAGCAGGGGTGCAGAGCAACTCCATGAATATGGGCCTGGCTTCACAGATACTCCTTGTCCTGCCTTTCCCAGGAGGCTTTGGGAATTACTTTCCTTCAGCTTCCCACCCCTCAACCTCCTTGTATGCTTCGCACCTCCCCTTTCAGCCCTGCAGCAGGAGAGTGATGTCTCATTCAAGATGATCTCCCCCTCCAAAGACACACAGCGAGGGGGAGATCATCTTGCCTCTCTCAGCAATCAGGATAAAGCTCACGCTTCAGCCACTGGTGACACTGCTCTCACTTCCTCAGGCTCACGCTGAAGGTGAGAGCTGGCTCTTTCCAGAGCATCACCCCAGCCCAGGAGATGCTTTTTTCCCAGGAAAGGAAGTTGTTTTTTCCCAGAAGGTGCCTTCCCTCCGAGGTGCGTGCTGCCTGACATGCTCTTGAGGGAAGGCTCCATATTAATGGGTGCATTAAGTTCATCGCAGTCTGATGGTTCATAAAGTTTTGCTGCTGCTTCTTCAGGGCACCGGAGCCACCTCTGCCAAGGTATGGGCGAGGGAGCCCCTCAAGGCAGCGCTGTTGCACAATCTTATTCCTGGATTTTTGTTTCTGTGTCTCCCCTCCCCCTCCTTCTCTCTGGTGTGACTGGGTGCCCCGTGGCTCGTAGAAGAGGGACAAACCTGCAGCATCCTGCAGCGCCTTCCCTGCCTCCCAGTAATTAGCAGGCTGACTCATCAGTTGTGCCACAAATAGGACCTGGCTTGACAGGAAAAGTACCAACCCTCCCACTTCTGTTCGGGGCTGCCTCGCAGCTGCTCCCGTGTTTCATTATCACTTTGGGAAAAGATAATGCAAAACCACGCTTTTTTTGGTTTGTGGGTGGTTCCTCTCCACCCCAAGGCCTGTGACAGCTTACACTGCTGTGAGAACAAACAGCTGGGACTACATTTTTCCAGCAAGCTCTTCAGGCTGTGGTACACAAAAGAAGTCTTGCTTTTTCTTCCTTACTTAAAACAAAACACTCACAAAACACCATACGGGTTAATTTTATACATCTATACCCAAGAAGCCACATTTTGGCACACAGGTCAACCAAGAAGATAAAACACCTTGTTAGAGAGCAGAACCTTACTTTTTCTTTTCTTCTGGTCTACCTACTGCATCACTGCTAATTCAGTGGGTGAGAGAACTGGGCCAGCGTGTCTTTGCAGGCCTTGTGGCCTGTTGCTGGGGGGGGTTGAGGTGTTTTACAGGATTTTACAGTTGTTTGTAGTCTTTGGTAGGAAAACTACTCCAGAGACACCCTGCAGGGGAAGATCCAGCACAAAGCAACTGCTAGATAATAACGCTGTTAAAGAGGAAAGGGCCAAGTGGCAGCCACCATCCTAAGCTGCCCAGTGCTGCAAGGTGGAGAGCAGAGGAAGCACAGGGAGCAGTGACAAGTCAAGCAGCCCTCTGACCCCAGCCCCTGCAGATGGGGTATTTTGGCTTTATGTAGTGAGAGAAGGGTAGGTGTATGGGTCTGTTCTATGGCTCTCTAGTTACTGCCTGCTGCCTAATCTTAGCTTAGCTAATAGCCACAGCAGGATTTACAGCAGCCCAGTCGTAGCTGTTGAAGCAGTGGCTGAAGACAGTTCACAATTGCTCCCTGCGTGCAAATCACTGCCACTCTGCCACAGGCAGACTGGTTTCCTGTGCCATAAGTTGACACCAAACCAATTAAAACAAATAGGGGAAAAATGAATAATTTTACCAGGAAAGACTGCTGCACCAAAACAGCCCCCTGGGAGAGGGCTCAGGCAGCACACTGCACGTATGCTTCCTCCCTCCTCTCTCTCCTACCCTATTTTGACGTTACAGGGAATTACTGTGCTAGAAAAGCCCCACCGCATTTATCTAGCTACAGCTGAAAGTGTACGGATTATCTCCAGGTCCCTACCTCCAGACCAGAAATAATGCTATTAATTCAAAAAGCAGCAGTTGCTCTCAGTGGCAAAGAGGGCCACAAATGGCAGGTGGGGCTTTGTGAAACAGAAATACTGCCCCTTGCTTGCAGCATACTTGAAGTTCCTTCTGTTAAAGCCTAGCTAGAGAAAAGCACCAGGCTGTCTCAAAGCTGGGAAACAGATGTTAGTCAGCTGGACAGAGGGATTTCATACACATGTTCTTAAAAACCAGCTAGTCATGAGTCAGGCTTTAGCTGCAAACTGTTCATCAATGTGACCAGAAAGGAAAGCAATGCTTTGCATTAAGCAACATACACTAAAAATCACCTGGGATAAGCAGCAGGAGAGAGGCCTGCAATGCTAGTAAAAGGTGAAAGTTAAAAAAAAGGCAATTTGCCCACTTTCTGGCACGTGTTTC